TAGGCAACTGCGCTGGGAGACAATTAACTATGCTAAACATAAGATTCTCTCCAAATACCAGATACAAACTCCATAATTTGTCACTAATCTGCAATCAAAGTCTAATTTACCCTCTCAGTGATCGTCTGATTGATTTTGAGGAGATCCTCAAAGATGAGGCTCATTTTTTTCTTCTTACGTAGTACATTTCCTTTTTTGAAATCTAGGGATTTTGTTTCCAACAAAAAATCCCACTTTCTTGCCGCCTATATGGACTTTAGAGAACAAAGTAAAAGGTCGCTCCGATATGATGATAAAAATAATAGGAGTACTTTCACTTTTTTAAAATCACAAAAATAATTTTTTATTGTGTTTTATAAACTAAATCATTAGACTATAACGGAGTAATTCGCATTATTATTTTTAGTTTGAATTATTTTCTATAGCTCAATTTGTTTTTTAAAATTTTTTTATGAAAAATATGGTCGTGGTTAAATTTGACACTTAGAGTAAGTATTTGGGAGGACTACATCAAAGTCAAAAACGTGCATATGCATAATTATTACTCCGTATAAGAGAAGAAATTTCAACAAAATGAGTCTTTACTCATGCAGTGTTGGCTAATGTTTAAACAGCTTTTAGGTGTAATTTGGCAGGCTTTTTTCTCTTTTTCCAAATTATTAATCTATCTAGTCCCTGAAAATTGTCAAAGCTTGATTTTTTAGATCAAACTATATCATTTTGATCATTAATTAAATATAGTTTAAAATAATAAATATTATAAAAATTTGATATTTTAAAGCTATATGTTAGAATAAACTCAATTTACTAAATTTACATTATAACTAATAAATATACTTTTTCCATTATTTGCAGTCAAACGGTGTCACCATTTGACCAAAAAAGCTAAATTGCGACAATGTTTTAGAGATGGAGAGAGTAGTTTTTTATTAAATACTCCGTATATATTCAAATAATAGGACAAACATTCTAGTCACATCTTATTCATTCATGCTTTTTATATAATTTATATTTTTTCTTTTTATACTATATACTCCATATTAATTTGTAAATAAAACAATTATAAAAGAGATATAGAATAAGTTAAATAGTGTATATTATCCAAAGTGTGATAAGATTTTTGAGTAGGTTCAATTCATTGCACAAATCACTATCATTGCAAGATCATGCTTTTTTCTCCAAAAGTTACATCTACATATGTTAAGATCACAACATGAGCTTGAGTTGATATTGGAACAAACACGACATACCTTGGAATAAAAGTATGGATATATGTAAGTTTGGGTAGCGTAGTAGTCAATCCATGGATACAATATAATACTCCTAATATGAGACATTTCGACATTATTGTCGGATTCGATTAAAAAAAGATGAACCCGAGGGTCTCTTCAAACACAGTCGGCGCAGTTGCCAGGAAAATGAAGTCGGGTCTTATCCCCTTAGGACTCTCTATCTTTGCCAACTGTACAACGTTTACCGGCTCAATTCCAAATTAAAGCAATGTAATGTAGAGTTTTTTATATTTTTAATTTGCATGAAATCTTTTGTTGGAATTAGAGACAGGTCTCACCTCGCGCCTTATTACCCAATCCAAGACTAAAATTTCATTTATTTTCTATCATGTTGTAATCATTCGAACCGTGACTAAGGACCCTAGCTAATTAAGATACAATTGGATTCATCATTTTTTTCATATATGGATGTAATAAACATAAGCTAAGCCCCGATATATATATATATATTTCTTTTCATGTTCAGTTTCATGAGTGTATCTTTCCCTATAATGACTCATCTTCAACGTCTTCCACTGTGTCATATTTTGGTGTTCTTCCCATTTTTCCTACCTCTATGTATGGTCCTACTCACATGGACTCCTCACCTTTTACCCAACCCACTCCCACACCCCCTCCCCCTACCCAACAACTCCCTACCACACCCAATGTCCCACCCGGCTTCTCCCCCTTACATCGTACATCCCTGACCAGCCCACCCAACTCCACGTGTATGGCGTCGCCCCCACACATACCGGTAGCCCACCCCATACCCACTTCTAACCCGACGACAATCCCTACCCCCCTGTCACGGTACCTCCTTCTATTCAGCCTTCCCATCATATGGTCATACATGCTAAACACATCATTTTTAAATCTAAAGTATATGCCCTTAATTCCTCTTCTCCTCTTATCTATGAGCCTACCACCTCTAAAGAGGCGTCCTAGAATGAGTTTTGGCGCAATGCTATGGATGAGGAATAGTTAACCTTGACAAAACAGAACACCTGAGTTCTTGTTCCCAGACGTAAGGGTCGATCTCAAGTGTGTATATAAGATTAAACGTAATGCGGATGGGACTGTATCGCGCTATAAGGCACGTTTGGTTGCCAAGGGCTACACACAAGAATACAGTTTCGATCACTCTAGAACATTTAGTCCGGTTGTTAAGCAACAGACAATCCGTCTTATTTTTGCACGTGCTCTCTCTTTTTAATGGCCTCTTCAACAATTGAATGTCTCAAAAGCCTTTGTATATGGTGAGGTTGATATGTTGACCCATGCTTCCTTGGGCATGTTTGCAAACTCACAAAATCCTTGTATGGGCTTAAACAAGCTCCACGGGCTTGGTATCTGCGACTCTCTGCTTTCCTTTTTGCCTATGGTTTTTGAAAAAATGTGCATGGAACTAGCCTCTTTATCCTCCATAACACTACTGGTACTCTTATTTTCTTGTCTATGTGCATGATATTATTGTCACATGTAGCAATCCCTCGCCTATTTAGCAGATCATTTGACGCATGTGCACCGAATTTTGAACAAAAGATCTTGAGCCTCTTGACTATTTTCTCGAGCTGGAGGTATGTTGTATTGGCTCGTTGCTTATTCTATCCTAGCGTAAGTATGCGACCGAGCTTCTACATCGCACTATGATGGAGGACTGCCGACCCTCGTCTACTCCACTGCCTGTACGACAGTTGACCAAATAAGGGGGTGAGTGCCCCTTTGTTGATCCCACTTTGTTTTGTAGTCTTGTTGGTGGTCTACGATATCTTACCACCACTCGTTCTGATATTCAGTTTGCTGTCAATTATATTTGTCAAAGGATGCATGCTCCCACGGAAAATGACTTTCAGAGTTTAATAATAGCCACGTAGTTGTCAATGGAACACTTGATCGTGGTTTGTTTTCCAGGTTAGAGACCTACAACTACATGGCTATTATGATTCTGACTAGGAAAATGATATGACTGAAGGGCGTTTAATTACTAGATATCTAGTGTATTTGGGGCTGAACCTGATTTCATGGAGTACGGAAAAACAAACACGTGTTTCTAAGTCATTCACTGAGGCTGAATATCGAGCTTTCTATGCTGCAACATCTAAGGTTATGTGGTTAATGTATATGTTTGGTTGATCTTCGTATCTCCACTCTCCTACCTCATCTTTTCTTCGATAATCGGGTCTACTATATGCTTTACCAAGAATCCTGTTTTTTCATAAGCATATGAAACATGTTGGCATTGACTGTCACTTTGTTTGAGAGTAAGTCATCGCTGGAACCATAAGCCTGACACATGTTTTTTTGAGGATCAGCTAGTCGACCTGCTGACTAAAGCCCTACCATCGCCATGCTCCCAGAGTCTTGTGTCCAAGCTTCCACACATTACACGCAGTTCAGTTTGAAGGGAAATGTTAGACAATCATAATAGATACCTATTCTTTATAGAAGTCTTTACATTTTAGTTAATTACCTTCTATGATTCCTTAGTATGTTTGGAATCCACACTACATATATCCTCTCTATCAAATGCTTAAACTTTTGATTGTAGATTTCAAAAAAAAATAAGCAAAACTTAGACCACAAATTTTAGGAAAAAATATATTTAGTTATACTCCCTCCGTCTAAAAGTTTCTTTCCTGGTTTGACTTAGCACGAAAATTAAGAAAAGTTATAAAATATAAAGACTTTTCATGAGTTTTTCTTGATTTGATTGAATAAAGTAAATAATGTAGAAAAAAGTAGGGGTATGATGGTATATTCATTAAAAAATGGCCAAAACAAGAAACGGGAAAGAAAATAGTTGGATGGTCCAAAAAGGAAAGTGAAAAAAATTAATGGACGGAGAGAGTCATAATGTAATTAAATTTTGTAAAATTAATTAGGTTTATTTTAACATATGATCGAGTAGTTTTAAAATATAAAGTTCTTATAACATTTAATTATTTTATATTGTATTTAATTTTTTTGTAGAACTTTAGTTTTGACGTATTTTTATATATATAAATTATAGTTTTTATTTCTATAATAAAATTATTTTGACAAACATACTAAGTTTCAAATAAAATAAAGTTCTGTACTATATCCTGATAGTAGAGTACGGAAATATTCTTTCCATTTGACTTTTCTTGGTCAAAATTTACAAATTTTGATTATGATACGTGGAAAAAATACATTGTATTACGATATAACTTTAATATGAATATATTCATTTTGAAATATAGTTTTCAAATATAAAATTTTTATAAAATATATATATACACATAAATAAAGATATTAGTGGTCAATGTACATTTTTTGGGATCGTAAAAAATTAAATGGGAAAAACATTTTTCCGAGGGAGAGAGTATGACATTGAAGGTAGGTGTCAAAGGATTGATGGTAAGATTTTTTGGTCACTCTGATTGAGTGAGTGATCACACGACTACTTATTACCCTCTTCTGACCCGCACACAGAGCTCTCTATTGACTCATCACTGCCCATTTCTCGTGAAGCTAACGTTTACTCCTCACCATGGGCAGAGAGAGAGAGTTGTCCTGCCTACTTCTTACTCTTACCATATCTTTTACTCCTAGTCCCTACAAGTCTACAATGAATGAATGAATTGAATGTGATAAAGCTTTTCATATTGCAATCTTTCTCTCTCTCTCACGTCAAGGGAGAGAGGAAAAGGAAGAAGGAAAAAAACACCTGACCCACAAAAGCAGTTGCCCAAAACAATCAACACTCGACTTTGTCCCATGAAAAATGTCACCATTTCATTCTTCTTTCAACTCTCAGTTTCTTCATAGTATATATTTCCCTGTGTTCTTTTTAGCCTCTCTGCAAATCTGGCATTCATGCCCCTCCTCCCTTCACCTTATCTTCTTTCTGTTCCATTTGTTTCCTAGTCTTTGTTCTTTTCCTTTGTCTGGTTTTGTACTGCCCCTCATGAATTCTTGATTCCCCCCTTCCATTTTCAAGACTTCTGTGAATGAACCCCCAACTACCCAGAGTTTCTTGTAGCTTTTGAGTGAAATTTCATATAAATAGCAATAGCAATGATTCCCACACATAGAGAGGAATAGAAAGTCTGGGTCTTGGGTATTCTTGGTTTGTCCTCCTTTGGCACTTCCTATTTGGGGAAAATTTGAGGTTTCTTGAAAGTAAAACCCTAAAAATGGAATCTTTGAGCTTGTTTTTGTTACTTGTGATGGTAACAATGTCTGCTGAGCCAGGGAGTAGTAGCGATTCTATAAAAGACAAGACCATCCTGCTGTCAATTGGGAAAGAGCTAGCGATACCAGGGTGGGAATCCAACGGCCCAGATTTCTGCTCTTGGAGTGGAATTGGGTGCAGCTCAGACCAATCAACAGTGGAGATTCTTGATCTTTCTTACTTGAGGTTGCAAGGTAACCTTTCTTTAATATCTGAGCTCAAAGCTTTGAAGTGGCTTGACCTTTCTGGCAATGATTTCCAAGGACCAATCCCACCCTCTTTTGGGAATTTATCTCATCTTGAGTTTCTTGATTTGTCTTTCAACAATTTTGAGGGTTCCATCCCTAGGGAACTTGGTAGCCTCAGAAACCTCAGAACATTGAACATCTCAAACAATTTGCTCTCAGGAGATATACCTGATGAACTCAAGGGGCTAGAGAGTCTTTTGGATCTTCAGATGTGTGCTAATAAGTTGAATGGTTCTATTCCAATGTGGGTTGGGAATTTGACCAGCCTGAGAGTCTTTGCAGCCTATGAGAACGAATTCACCGGTCCCATTCCAGAGAATTTAGGCTTGAATTCCTTGCTAAGGTCATTAAACCTTCACTCAAACCATCTTCAAGGGATGATTCCAGAATCTCTGTTTGCAACGGGGAAGCTAGAGGTTCTGGTTCTGACCCAGAATCAGTTGGTGGGGAAAATACCCGAATCGATCGGGAGATGCAGAGGCCTATCGAGCATTAGGATCGGGAATAACCGACTTGTAGGACCGGTTCCCAAAACGGTTGGTGACATCATAAGCCTTGCTTACTTTGAAGCTGACAACAATGATCTCTCTGGGGAGATTCTCCGAGAGTTTGCACAATGCACTAATCTCACTCTCCTTAACCTGGCTTCGAATGGATTTACGGGAACCGTTCCTCCAGAGTTCAAGAAGCTCACCAATCTCCAGGAGTTGATTGTTTCCGGAAATGCCCTTTTCGGAGAAATCCCCACGGGATCAAAGAATCTGAACAAGCTTGATTTGAGCAATAACAGATTCAACGGAACGATACCCCAAGATATATGTAAAACCTCAAGATTGCAGTATCTACTGTTGAGTCAGAACTCAATAAGAGGAGAGATACCAAATGGGATTGGGAATTGCTTGAAGTTACTTGAGTTGCAGGTGGGAAGAAATTACCTGTCAGGGCACATCCCACCAGAGATAGGGCATATGAAGAACTTGCAGATTTCTTTAAACCTCAGCCACAACCATCTCAGTGGAGTGTTACCCGAGGAGTTGGGAAAACTCGACAAGTTGGTTTCTTTAGATGTGTCAAACAATCAGATCTCAGGGAACATTCCATCAGAAGTGAAGGGCATGTTGAGTTTGATAGAGGTTAACTTTTCAAACAACCGATTATCTGGACAGATACCGGTTTTCGTGCCACTACAGAAGAGCTCAAACTCCAGCTTTCTTGGAAACAAAGGACTCTGCGGTGACCCTTTGAGTAGTTCTTGTGGAAACCTCAATGGCAACTACAACAACCATCATAAAGTCTCATACCGGATCATCTTAGCTGTCATTGGTTCTGGTTTGGCAGTCTTCATATCTGTTACTGTGGTTGTTGTTCTGTTCATGATGAGGGAGAGAGAAGAAAAAGCTGCAAAATCCGAGGAAGAAGAGATCTGTAGGCAGCCAGTTATGATTGCAGGAAATGTTTTTGTTGAGAATCTCAAACAAGCCATAGATTTCGATGATGTCGTAAAAGCCTCCATGAAAGATTCAAATAAGGTTAGTGTCAGTACATTTAGCACTGTGTATAGAGCCGATATGCCCTCCGGTTTGGTTTTATCCGTTAAGAGGCTGAAATCAATGGACAAAACAGTCTTGCAATACCAAACCAAGATAATCCGGGAGCTTGAGAAGCTGAGTAAGCTCTGCCATGAAAATCTGTTGAGGCCTATTGGGTTTGCAATCTACGAAGATAATGTTCTCCTGCTGCATCAGTGCTTCCCAGATGGGACATTGGCACAGTTTCTTCATGAATCAGTGAAGGGACCTGAAGACTATAAAACTGAGTGGCCAAGAAGACTGTCAATCGCCATTGGAGTGGCAGAAGGGCTGGCTTTCCTTCATCATGTGACGATTATTCACCTCGATATCTCTTCTGGGAATGTGGTTCTTGACTCAAATTTCAAGGCTTTGGTTGGTGAAGTTGAGATATCTCGGCTTCTTGACCCCTCCCGGGGAACTGCCAGCATCAGTGCTGTTGCTGGTTCATTTGGTTACATTCCTCCAGGTAATGTATTTTCCTTCTCGAAATGCTTATATTTACCTTCTCAACTGCTGTATTATAGTTTTTTTTTTTTGAGTTTTTTTTTGCGTCATTTACTCCCGAACTCTTCAAAAATTGCGTGAATCCCCCTTGAACTTTAAAAATCGCACCAATGGTCCGTGAACTTTTAAAATGTTGCGTCAATGGCCCTTAGTGCGTTAATCACACGCTTGCCCAATGCAAGTATGAATTCATCTCAACACATATATCACACGTAATTTTCGCAAAGTCAACTAAACTTGAAGGATGAAATTGATAGCCATATGTAATGGTTTTCTCCATATGGATGGGCAGAATACGCGTACACAATGCAAGTGACTGTGCCGGGAAACGTGTACAGCTTCGGGGTCATCTTGCTCGAGATTGTGACAGGTAGGCAACCAGTCGACGAAGCCTTTGGGGAAGGAATGGACTTGGTGAAGTGGGTCCACGGCGCGTCAGCGAGAGGGGAGACGCCGGAGCAGATTCTTGATGCCACTCTCAGCACGGTTTCCTTCGCTTGGAGGAAGGAAATGCTGTCGGTTCTGAGAGTGGCACTGCTCTGCACCGACAGCACGCCCGCGAAGCGGCCCAAGATGAAGAAGGTGGTTGAGATGCTCAGAGAGATCACAGAGGAGTGACTCATATTCTTATATATATCTATTAGTCTTCTTCTCTACTTAGCCTGGTCCTTGATGGTAGAGGAACATGAAAAATGGCTTATCTCAACTGAGAAGAAGCAAAGGTATTAAAATCTGTATATTTGTAAGGGTTTAGGTTTTCTTCCATGATGATGATGATGATGATGATGTTCAAAAGGCTTTTCTTGCTGCAGAATGTTGTATCCAAAATGCTCCAATTTTGAGGTTCTATAGAATAGTGTTTGAAGAAGTGAAATGTGCTGCAGAATTGTGTCCATAGAGAAGTAAATTGGTCATATTTTTCGTGGGAAAATACGAGTATTTCTTCAAAGAAAATCATTTTTTTCAAGTTTTACTATTCATTCTGTCCCATGAGAATTTGACCACTTTTAAAAGATTAAAATAGGAGAATTCATTTTGTTATTTAAATGAGAATTTGCATTATCACTCTCACATTACCAAGCTAGTAAACTATCACCGGATTGCGGTGCCGATCTCGGGCATTGACCACCATTGGAGGTTACCATCACACTGTCATCATTTACAATTTGTTTTGTCATCACAATGTTAACTCTTACATAGAGATAAAAATAATGTCACTACTATTTTTATGGCATTTTACACATGTGTAACATTTTTTCCTTGAAAAAAATGAGACAGATAGAGTATAACATTACAAGTAGATATACGAATGGTAAAAAATGAGCCAAACATCTCGTACTAGAATGGTATAATTTTAACACTCAATTGAAAGGTCACAATTTCGAAAACCACAACATTGTTTTTTTTTGTATTTTAATAACTTGAAGAAATATGCATGAAAACACAAGTTAAATTGAAGAAAAATGCTAGAGTAATCCCGCTTGGGGTATACCTAATGTACACCAAGACAAAGATATGCACACACACATACACTCAATGTATGCATATGCGCATACATTGAGTGTCTGTGTTTGCATATTTTTACTTTGGTGTACATTTGATATACCTCAAGTGGGATTTCCCTAACACTCTTCTAAATAAAAGTGAAACGCCCAACCCGGTCAGCCAGAATTGTGAGGAAATAAATCATGATATAATCTTAATCTGGTCCTGAGATAGACTGTCTCGTGTCCGGTGCACACAAGAAACTATTTCAAAGTATAGAACTCTCACATTGCCACTGTCAAAATTTGACCCAATGATTAATAAGCTTGACATCTTCTCCTTTGGCCCAGTTGAACTACGCACCCTAACATTCTTCCTAATTGAAATAGAGTTAACAGTACAACAAAATTTGAAAGAAAATGACTTCTCTTTTCATGTGAGGGGCTATATGAAACACTACTTCAGAGTTCAGATGTGCCAACTGATTTGAGTGGATTTGACACCACAAACACAAACCAATGAAAATCACCCACAAATGCACTCATGCTTCTCATCTAGTCAAATGTGGCACTAAAATGGGCATTTGTGCCATTAAATTAGGTCACCAAGATGAATGTGAAGTACTTCATTCGCATGAAGGCAAAACTAGCATCATCACATGATTTGACATAACCAATCTATCCACTCTGTCCTAATTTATATTGTCTGTTTCGGTTTACGATATTTGACTGAAATTACTTTTTATATAATCTTATACGGGGGTAGTTTCCCGCAGTAGGAAAAACTTTGGGAATAAATTCCTGATTGTAGGATTGAATTCTTGAGAGGGAAGATTGAGATTCAACATCCCGAAAAAGTTTTTTTTTAATAGGGCCTACAAAATACGAGATTCAACATTTCAATTTTTCTGAAAAAGTTTTTCACTTTTGCAGGAGATTCCAACTTTAGGCATGTGAGAATGGTTTTTTAATGCATTATAATAGTTGTATCCGTATGTATCCATCCTTAAATAGCAAAGTTAGGTTCTTTTTTCATTTAAGTTTTCTTTCTCTACAACTCTCTATATATGATAATATAGCCAAAAAATATATATTTTAAATTACAAGATTTAAGAATCCAAAAGAGTAAAAGAAGGTCTTCTTCTTTTGGAAGGTATGTAGTGTTTTACTTATCTTTTTTTTGTTTCATTAGCTATTTAATTATTAAAAAGTCCCACCATTCCCATTTCTATTACATTTTTTTTTCTTTTTTCGATAACTTAAGTTTATTTATGTAATTCATTAAGTATTTGATAAAATAAAAGATTATTGTCACCTCTTGTCTTTTAGAACTTTTGACGTAGTTTTTTAATTAGAAATTTTTATTTCTTATTAATATACCAATTTATAAATTAAATGATTTCAAAAAGTGAAAATAAGTGAGAGTATGATAAAGTAGAAAAAAAGTGACAGAAGTTGTATTTAACAAATAACTTATTTTATATGTATTAGTGTGATGGATGAAGTGCAAAGAGATCTCGCTGGACCAAAAAGCTTAGAAATATTAAATTTACAAGCGGCTCATCGTTCTCTCCGTATTTGGAATGACCCGACACATATTGATGCAAAAGTAGAACCGTGTCGGTATGATGGTCATATCCCTACAAATTTTACAGACCCAAGGGTTATTGAGAATCTACGTCGATGAATGGAAATCGAGAGCTTTTTCCTATTGCTTACGCGGTGGTTGACGGGGAAACGTGTGAAAGTTGGGCATGGTTTTTGAGGTTACTTGTTCAAAGGGTTATTCGTTCTATGTTAGTATGTATCATTTCAGATAGGCATGTTGGAATTATCAACGCGTATAGAGATCTTCCTGAACTTCAAACAGGAAGAATAATGAAGCGCTTTTGCCTACGTCACATCCGTAGCAACTTCATGACAAAATTTCGTAACTCAGATCTCAAACGTTTGGTGTGGGCCGCTGGGAGCACTCCTAATATCCAAGAATTTCAAGGATATATGGGAGAAATACGGAATGTCAGTGAAGAGGCATATCTCTACTTGAATGATATTTCACGTGAAACATGGGCTCTATCTTATGATGGTGGTTTTAGATGTGGGATTTTGACAACCAATAGTTCAGAGAGTTTTAATAATATGCTTAAGGGTTGTCGGATGTTACCGGTCACTGCCATTTTGAGTATGTCTTATAGCAAAATGGTTGAATCTTTTGCAAAACGGCACAAGACTGCACTCAATTGGCAACAAAATAATTTTCGTATCACTCCGAAAATTACGAACATCTTACGAAGTCGTGAGCGAACAAAACATAAGTGGGCTGTTGCAGACTATGGCAACAACCAATATGTTACTAGTCATACTTCTCGAACAGATCCATCATCTATCTATAGCTACATGGTGGATCTCGTGAATAGAGTTTGCACTTGTGGCCGATGGTCTTCCGATGCAGTCCCATGTGTTCATGTTCATGCTATTTTCCACTCTAAGCGTCAAGTTGCTGACAGTCTCATCCCACCGGTATATTCCGTTCAAAATTATCTACAGTGTTATAGTGGAGTGATTCATCCAGTTGTTTTTCAACCCAATTTAGATATTGGTGACTTTCGTGTCAATCCACCAATAAGGCCGGATGGAGAGATTCCACGTTCAGGAAGACGTAAGCGTAACCGGTACATTGGTGAGATGGATCGAAAAGCTACCAGAGGAGGATGAATATATACATCTACCACACTTAATGTAACTTTATTGGTCTTTTTGTTGGATGTATCTTGTTCAATAAAATATTTCTTTCATTATTTTTTGTTTATGAAAAACTTCAATTTTTGTTCAGTTTTTTAGATTTTAAATATTTATATTAGTAATTATACACCTCCCATGCAAAATTAGTAATTATTTCTATTATTTAAAATAATCAGGATTCTAAAACATTAAAAAGGCAAACAAAAAAAATATATGTACTTCACTTATGGTTTTTTAATTGCCCATGCAAATTCCATAATTATTTACTTTTAAAAATCGGGATTTGTAAACCCGAAAAAAATTCCATAATTATTTACTTTTAAAAATCGGGATTTGTAAACCCGATTACTAAAAAAAAATTGAGAAGTGAAAATCGGGATTTGATATCCCGTTCTTCCCAATTGGGAATTTGAAGCTAAAATCCTTCCCTCTCGCGTAATTTCTCCCTTATACGGAGTATGAAAATAGTGTCGAATTAAAAATAAAAATTATATATATTAAAATACGACATCAAAAAATCTACAAAGCTAGTAATGACACGACTATTTTATTTTATCAAACGACTACCGAAAAAAGAGAAATTGAATGATGTTTAATTATGTAAATAATAAACAAACAATTTAATTTGGAATGGAGAGTATTTTTCTCCAGCAGTGTGGGTTTTAACACCAAACATAACCAAGCTATTACTACTGGACCTGTACTTTATTGTCTTGGTTAATCAACATGCATCTCCCAATCTAAACCCCAACACAATTTGTTTGTTAGCTATTACGAGTGCAATTTCTTTTTAGATATATACTTCGGGCCTCCGGGGTATCATAATGTTATAAATAATGGCAAATTATTACATGCACCTAAAATTCATTGTAGATTTTCATATATATATGCTAAATAAGCATTTTTAAGTATTGAAATAAGCATTTTTAAAATTAAAGAAATATATGAGAAGGTCCGTGTGGACCTTTGCTCCACCACAAAATCACTCATAAATAAGGACTGATATACAAAATTGAAGGCAAATTATTACATGCACGGACCCAATGTCCATGGTGATATATTCTAAATAAAATTCAAGTGTTAAAATAAGCATTTTTTAAACTATAAAAATATGTGAGAAGATTCATGCAGATCTTAGGTCCATCATAGAATCACTCAAAATTGAAATATGAACCCTTGACTCCCGGAGTACTATATTTTTTTTCTGAAACATCTAAAAAGAGGAGTGAAAAGAGGGAAGCCTTTTTTCATTAAAAAAAATTACTCCGTAGAATATTTTTAAAAAAGAGTATTTTCTAAAGCCATGCAGATAAAATCCCCAAAAACAATTATAGAGTAGATCTCCGGGGGCATATAAATTACTGCACGAAATGACAATGCAAAATTTATTTAAATGATAGATATAACCTGAATTGTCTCCATTGCATAAAATTTGAATTGAAGATATCATGTGATCCAAAAAAACAAATTCAAATTTACCGTTGTTTAGAGGCAAGTGTAACAACAATGCCTTCTTATATTCTTAACAATAATAATCACAAACAACTGCTGCTGCTTCTGCTGCAACTTGGATCCACCCATAATCAATCTGTCTTAACGATGAAATTTTGGCGGCTGATGGGATTCATAACCACGGGGGGCCCAGCAGTCCGAGGCCATGCCTGGAACTTCTTGTCGGTCTCTTCCCACCATTCCTTGTCAACAATCGTTTTCGGAGTCGTACCTGATTTCAAACACCTTACTGTCACTCACACACACATATATGACTAACCAGTAGAGGAATCAAAGGAATTGCAAGAACAGATCGTAACTTGCCTCCGAAAATCTTCGTGTCTGAAACAAAGTGATCACAAACATATGCAATTGCAAATGACCCAGCAAGGGCTGAAGCAATTTTAGCTGCCATGCTGAACTTCACCGACTGTAACTCTGTAAGTTTTTTAAAACAATGAACAATTTAGGCAAGTTTAGACAATGGAAGTGTTTTGTTTTCTCTACTAAAGAGTTGTTCATGATAAGTCAACAACCCACAGACAACAAGACCATTCCATGTCAAAAAGAAAAAGAACCATGCGTTACTCATTAGTATTCAAGGACACATTTTCACATGTGAGAAGGGAAAAGAAGTCGATTAGTAACTGGCACAAAAACAATTAGGGAGTACTAAAGTTGATTATCAAACAAATTAGGGAGCATGAAAGTTGCTAGTTTGTGAAATTAAGCAGCCCATCCCCACCCACCCACACACCCTCTAGGCACACAAAATGATAATGATAACAACAACAAAAGAATATGGCATTTAGTTGTTTGTGGTGGCATTCAGGGAGCAACAACTTTTTACTCAACGGAGGGTATTTTATGGTCATTCACAGGAAATTTGTGAAGTATGGAAGGCCAAAATGGCTGAATTCCAATCATCTTCCACAATCGACAAGTAATAACACCGGAAACCATGCCTAAACAACAACAAATATGGTGTTCGGCCGTGCTTAACATTCTTTAAAAAATGAATTTTTTTAAACACAATTCAAAAGCACCACAAAGCTGTTCTCAACTTGTGCTTCCTAGACTCGATCACAAGTTGAGAACCAGCACTAAAACACATTCCCAAACATTACCACTCTGATTTTATCCAATGCAGAAACTGAGAATCTGTCACAAAAAGAATTGCCAAACACCCTCATAGCATTAGCCAAGACACACATTTACTTCTCACCAATTCATCAATCAGATAACCCCATCACATATACTCAAATCCAATCAATCAAAGCATTAATTACTAATTTTAATCTCTCCTCATCAATCTGTGGCATCATACATTCACCAGGCATTACACAGCATGTTAGATGTGAAATTCCAACAAAGAGAGCTCCTTATAAGCACCAGAACAGACAAAATGTTCAGATCTTAAAGCTCATTTCCATTTTCAATCTTCCAATCCGTGAATAAGTAACGCCCGGCGAGCAAAAAACATCGAAATTCGAAAGTAAAAATCTCAACGACGCAATCCACGAGATTGCACAGCAATGAAATTTCAAGCGATCGACTCCGCGGCAATTCCTGTAGGGCAAGATTTCATATCAATAAGATTTGATATGAAATCTTATTGAATGAAAGCTTGTCTCGAAATATCGTTAGAGGTCAACATTAACGTTTTGAAAATATTATTTATGAGTAGGGGTGGACACGGTACCGGTACCGGAAACGGTACCGCCGGTTCCGGTACCGTTACCGTCGGCCGGTACGGTCCACCGGTTCCGGGAACCGGTACCGGTACCGCCCAATCCGGTACCGGTTCCGGTGCCCATTTTTCGGTACCGGCACTGGCGGTTCCGGTTCCGGTTCCGGTACCGTTACCGTTTTTTTTTATTTTTTTTTATTTTTTTTTATTTCATTCTTTCCTTTATCAATTTCATTTTAAGATTTTTTTATTTCATCATTTCCTTTAACAATTACACATTTACAATTTTATATTTTAAAAATATAATAAAAAAGCAAAAAAAAAAAACAAAATTAGGGGTGGCCGAAACGGTACCGGAAACGGTACCGGAACCGGCGGTACCGGTACCGGTACCAAGGGGTGGCGGTACCGGAACCGGCGGTTCCGGAACCGGAACCGTACCGTGTCCACCCCTATTTATGAGCTGCGTTTAGCGTTAGAATTAACAAAGTTAATCTACACCGTAAATTTTTTATTCAAAATAGTAACGCTAATTGAAAATGTTATTTCCAAACAGAAAAGGAGTGCTTTGAACCAACTAGACCACAAGCTCCGAACTCATTATTACCACATATATTGTTTCATCTTATCCAATGGTGTCAATCGACTACATTTGTACCCCAAAAAAACTTATTTCATCCAAAAATAAAAGGAATGGTTTGATTTACGATACTCAACTAAATTTATTTTAAAATTAATGTAGAAATAAAAATAAAATCTTCATATTTGAAAACAATATAAAAAAAATTAACATAACAAAATACAGAGTACGACATAATTATACTCTCTCCGTCCCAATTTAAATTGCATGTTTTGGTTTACGATATTTGATTGAAGTTATTTTCAAATCAATTTATATGAAAAACGGTATAAAATTATAAAATAAAACTTACGGAGTACATATTTAAAAACTACATCAAAAGATCTACAAAACTAGTGGTGACATAACTATATTATTTTATCAAATGACTAACAAAAATAGAAAAACAGAGTAAATAAAATTTGACCATGTGAATAATAAACAGACTATTTAATTTGTGACAAAGAAGTACTCACTCTGTCCCAAAATAAGTTGCTTGTTTGTTGTTTTCGTAAACTTTTAAAAATAAAATACCTAAACTATCACTAAAGTAAGTTACTCTTCTTCACATTATCTTCTTATTCATCGTCACTCCTAAAAAGTAATGGCAATTTCAAAAAATTAACTCTATTTTTTCTTTTCCTTAAATATTACCAAAAATCAAAACAGACGATTTAAAACGGGACGGAGAGAGTATTATTTAGTCATCAAGCTATATAAAGGGGTGGATTGCCTGTTTACAGACTACGGAGTTAGATAATGTGGACGCACTAAGTTGGTTGCTGCATGTTGGGCTATAGATATTGTTTGGCCAATTTTCCTACATGAGGCATGACAACTTTGGCCCAATAATAATAATAATAATAATAATAATAATAATAATAATAATAATAATATAATAATAATAGATGAACAAATAAATAAATAAATAAATAAAAGATACAGAAATGAGATGCATAGTGTTCATGGGGCTTGACTTCCACAAATGAGATTTTATTCCTCATCAGTCACCATCAGTTTATCATCAAGTGCTTTTAAGTGTTTTAACTTGATGCAGTAATTACATCCAGTGAATTTGACATTTTATGTGGGAAGAAAAAAAAGGTTACAGGGTTGGTTAGATTAGGCTGAGTAAAAACATTGGCTAAACTTGTGTGTGTGTGTGTGTGTGTTTTTATTATTTACCAGGGAGGTAAAATCTGCAACATGATATGCCTCATTTTTCTCCATTGCTGCCTTTGGACAAAACTCAGTCTTGACGCCGCAGACCGTTTCTCAATAACACATCAGTTTTTATTTTTCTTCTGTACATGTATCAGCAGCCAGCTGCTTTCAGAAAATTGTCGAACGGGCTCAAAGCAGGAAGCCTTAAGGAGTCGGGATGTTGGCATTCAGTGCCACAGTGCATGGGAATGCCTGGAACTATGGACAGATTCTGAGCCAGGATTGTGTTTGTAACCTGTTTCCATATAAATATGTATTCCAGCAAAGACTTGGTTAGGATGAGATTAGTGAATGTTTGGTAGTTTTGACTTGTTAGCCAAATTTTTTTACCGAATACTCCCTCTGCTATATACTCCGTAGTGTCTTTCTTCCTATTTTCCTTTTTCGACCGTCTTATCTCTTCCTTCCCTTTTCCTTATGTTTAGTTCGTGGGAATCGAAAGGAAAAGAAAAGAAAGAGTTTCTTTCCTTTTCCTCACTAAAAAAGGAATGTTGTATTCCTTCTTAATTCATTTCTTCTCTCATTTTCTTTTTCTCCTACTTTTCTTTTCTTTTCCTTTCTAACCAAACAAGAAAAGTTGTTTTCCCTCTCGTTTTCTTTTCTTTTCCCCTCCAAGTTCCTTGGGTAAGTGGCAGAGTTTAAAGGAGTACCAACCTGCAGGCTCTCTGAAACTTCTTTTTTGTTCCCTTCCTCGCCTTGTTCTGAAGCATGGCTTATTGAACTTTCTTGTCTTTGCCGGAAGATCAGCAGAGTTAGCATCTTCTCATTCTTTCCAACTTGATGTGCCTCGCACTGATTTGCCAACTCGTTGAATGAGAAACAAGGTGATGTCCCAACAGCAGGTTTCCCTACTCGCGCAGCACTGTCCATGGCCTACACAAAATGCATATTCAAGAAATATTGTCGGTCTATCATGAGATTCATTCCTACTTATCAACTTGTATGGTATCTTGGTTTCAACAGGAAAGAATAGAAAAGAGATAAAGATTGGAGAAATGTTGTCTTTCTCTTGTTTGGTTTGGGGAAAAATAGAGAAGATCAAAAGCAGATAGGACCCTCTACTTGTTGCTCTCTCCCCCTTCATACAAAGATATGAGGTGTAGCTAACTTTTATATTCCCACATTATCCTTGTCACTTGCTCCATCTAGTACATCATCTTCATTTATGATGATTGATGTTTTGTCTTTTGCTTAAAAAACTTCCACACCCATACTTAAGTTCTCGTTTCCTTTAATGACGTTCTAAAATGAAGTTCACGTTCCTTTTTTTTCAATAGTTCACATTCCTATTAAAGAAAAAATTATGTGGATCTCTCATCTTTGCATAAATTTCAACCATACAATTTCACCTTTTAATTTCTTAAACACAATGAGAAAAAAAACAAATGTGAACTTAAATATGGGAGGGGGAGTTTTAATTTTGGTTGCACAAAAGCATAATTTTTCTTGTCTTTTCTGCTTTCTCACATGACAATAATTCTACTAATCCACTAAACTCCCACCTATTTCTGTCTTCCTGACTCTCTTTCTCATATCTTTATTTACTTTCAATTTCTCTTCTAAACCAAACAAATCATTAGTCTTGAACCAAACAAAGCATTGTCCAACACTTTGAGTTCATTCATGCATAGCTGACATGTGACACTTTAACACATTTCATAAAAAGGGCGTAGGTGGCTACAAAAAGTGTGATNTTTGAGGGCAAATGGTTTGACAGTTGACACATGTAAGTCCCATAATTTTCTTCCCAAAAACGAACAGCTGCAGTGGACGCTTCATATGATTGCTAGTAAAAAAATTGAACATATTCAACAATCAGACTTACGGATTCTAGAAGTTGATCAACGTTAAGCAGACTAGGAGCTGCTTCTTTTGCCAACTGCTGTGAGCTTTGCTCGGAAACACCTTCAACTGGACTCAGAGCATCATCATCTACTATTGGGAAAATTGGGGCGGCCTGAACAATAGTATATGGAGAAAGAGTTCACAATATCTTCGAGATAACTTACTGCAAAAGTGCTTTTATAATGTTCTTCATTTAAGCACTTGAAGTTGAAATGCTTTTTTGAAAGAAAAATACTCGAGTAACACTTAAGTCTTGCTTTAAAAAGTTAAAAAAAATGAAGGGAGTTTTAACTTTTTTTCATTTCTATGTCAAACACTTCTTTGAAGTGAGTAGTTCTCAGAAGATCACCTAATGGCTAAAAAGCGATTTTTTAAAAACAATGTAATCTACAAATAGCACTTACCTCCATAGAGTTGTTTCCATTTGATCGCACCCGCTCACATTTCAGCTTGGAATCCTTAAACAACTGGGCCCCAACCAAACTCACTTCTTCAGGCGAAAATTCTTTTAGCAACGCTTCCCTTATGTTAGACACTTCAGCCTATCCAAATAAGTCTTGGGTTCAGTGTTACTACAGATGGGGTAAAAACAAAATTTCTTTTATTAAAAATATCAAAACTCTAGCTTACATTTGTCATACTATTATTATTATTATCTAAACTCTCCATTATTATAGAAACCAAAGAGGCTCTAGAATGGGCTTTTCTTCTTTCAAGATGCGAAAGACACATTAAAGCTGACTCATCATCTTCTTTGGATCCATATCCTGTTTCAACTGCTTGTAACTTGCTATCATCAACCAAATGTAAATAAGGATCAACCTGAAAAAAAATTTAAAACATTCTTTAATTAAATACGGAGTAATAACAAGAAATGAAGACACTGGAAAATAAACTTTCTTTGTTAAAAGCTTATAATGGATTTAAAGAAAGAAAACCACAAACAGCCATGTTAGATAAGCAAAAGCAAAGTACTTGTGATTAGATTTATTTAATCTTGTGATGTGGGATTCTTTCCACAGCTGGAGAAAAAACATTTGGCTCACCTTATTATCTCCAATTGTATCTTTGATTAGTGGAGCTAGAGAAGGAATATCGTAAGCCTTCGCAGCAAAAATGATCATACATGTTGCCAAGACAAATAGGGACCGTTTACGTGCTGGTGGCAGTGCCCCTGAAAGAAATGGGGGAAAAACTAAGCTGTGTAATTGATAAAATACTTAATTTTATGTAATTAAGCATATACTCTTCAGTTTTTATGGATGGTTGGTTTTGATATGTTTGTACAATGATTCTTTGATGTTTGAGAATTATATTGGATAAAATAAGAGCATCACCAATGAAGTTTATTGTATTTTACCTCCTTTAGCAAGCGAAACTTTTTGTAATGAAAATGCAAGCTGAAAACTTCGTACCATAACTTCCCGGTAAGAGTTCTGCACAAGTTTATGAAGCAACATCCTAGTAAGAGTATAGAAACCAAAAGGAAATGTTCAGCTACACACACACAGTAATTGCATATTACATAGTATAAATATGAGGGTTAATCTTACATCAATTTCTACAAAAAAAACTCACATCGGTCATAATTTGTGTTTGAATTGTTCGAATGCAAAACCCACCTTTGGATTGAAAGTTAGTAACACGCAGATTATAATCCCAAACTTATACAAAGTTCTGAAATTGTTTCATACTTCATTTAATATAATAAAGTTAATGCAATATCAAGTTCAAAAGCATGTTAAATATGAGTTGTGTGATTTTACTATTTTAGTATAAACTTTCGGATCTTTGTGAAATTTTAAGGTGATGATCTATGTGTTAATAGCCGCAGTGAAAGATATAAGTGTTTTAAGAATTGATTTATAAAATATGTCGTAACATTAACCCTCCTCTATTAATATTACCCACTCCATTCCAAAAATGTTGTACCTATTTGCTTTGACAAAAAGGTCCTTGAAAATTTTGGGTTCTAATAAATGGATAGATAAAAGAAAAAGACTGGTTGTTGTGTGCCAATAAATAAATTTAAACAATGCAGGTAGGATTAATGATTTACAACATTAATAAGTTTCCAATTTTTTTTAACACTTTGTTTAGAACTACGGTATGTGCCCATGAGGCCAGGGTGATAACATACTCAGTATTTCATTTTGTAACAACCGAGAAAGAATAAAAATACTACGTAATAATTACCTTTGCTCTGGAGAAAAGTAAAACCAAACTATACGTGTGAGCAATAGCTTCATAGTTTGAAGGCACATTCGCAGGGGAAGTTGACTGAACCCAAATTGAAGAGAGTAGGATTCTGATCTGGTGGTAAGTCAGCTTCAGAGAAACAACATCCTGAACTTGAAAGAAGAAAAATATTTACAGGCTAGTGAAACAAAGATCAAATACAACAACAAAAAAAGTTTTCACAGATACATACCAAACTTTTACTTGGCTTGTCTGTAGAGCCTCCAGGCGAACCACCTTTCATGCTATATACTCGGTTATATGTTGACCTGATTCTGTCCAGCATCCCACTAGTATGGTTCTCCTCATCCTCCGGATTCTCAGGATTGAGTTTCTCAATGGGAAATATCTGATTCCTGAGCTTCTCGAAAAGTGCAGCTGAAGATGAAAAAACAGAAACAGTTCTTGATAGTGTTCTTGGAAGTCCAACACCTTTCTGCATTCTAGGATCATCCAAGTCTTCTTTTTCAGGGCAAACAGAAGAAGGAACAAGTACAACAGAGAAGATTCGGTGAGCTCCGATACGTGTTTCGTGATCAGGATGAACCATTGCTGGTATCAACTGATGAAACAAAGCCTCAGGAAATGCCTAAAAATTGGAGGTATGGCAAAAATAATCATAATTTGGATGGGCAGCAAAAAGATGCTATATAAAACAACATACTAGGATAGAGTTTTGGAAGGTTTTGGAGGGGAAGGCCGTAGAGGGCTAAATATACATATTGATCAAAAGAACGTAACTAAAAATGAATAAAAGCCTAAAAGGTAACTGATTTGATAGATGATCACCTACTTTGTTATTCCTTCAAATTATCAATTACGGAGTATCATACATTTAGACTTAGTTCTCGGATCTACCCTCTTCGGAACCCTTCAAAAACTCACATCCAAAGAGACCCTAAATGTGTTATTGAAAAAATCTTGCCTTTTTCTGACAAGACAAATTGGGCAGAGGAGCTATAATTTGAGCAGTGCGATAAACAACAGTTATCACAGTTCTAGCTACTAATGTCACACTTGATATATTCTCCAACATCACGGCCATGACATCAAGGATTGGGCCTGCATCGCCTATCTGTCAATTAAGGAAGCAAAATTAATGACAGTAATGCAAACATCTTTTTCTTATCTGTTGTTTTTAATGGAAAAGTTGGACTTCTCAGAATCTGGATTTGGCATCAAATTAGCATTCAAGATCCTTATGACATTCTGTACCTACTAAGGTGATAAAAAAAATCCAATTATCCACAATCAATCCAGTCCGCTTAAATGCAATTCCATCTATTTTAAAACAAATTATAATGGATGTGATAAAACTGTTAAAAGGATCATGTATGGGTTATTTTTTGAAATGCAATTTTAAAGAGTCGAATATGAACTTTGTCCGGTCCATCCGTTTGAGCCCTTTGACACCCTCATATATTATAGCCTTGTTTGGAGAGCGAAAGAGATATGGGTTCTGATATCCAGAATGTTTGGTGAACTCTTTGGGGGTTGAGTTCTGAAATTAAGAGATGTGATAACTCCTCCAAATGAGGGTGTTTGATATCTCCCAAATAGGGCAATATCAATTGGGAGGTATCAAACCTCCCACCATCACCCCAGCCTAGCGCCCTGACCTACCATTGCCACCACCATCGCCGCCCCCACAAACATTATTTCATGCAGCAAACATATTTGAGCTACATTTCAAAACCCATTCCATTTCAACAATGCTTTGCTCACCAAACGGGTCCATAATGTTTTCTATTATTAAATAGGAAAAAAAGTTGGTTGCACCTTATTACATAGCTCAACAAGGCACTGATCCACTGCTTCTTGGAAATTTATGTTCCATTTTATAATGTCAGCTCCCAAATGTGAATCCTCAAGAGAATTATGCATGCTTTTACGTAGATGCCTCATGACATCACTTATCGAACTAATTAATGCCACTGAGTGATCCACCTTTGTGTGTTGAGCAAGGGCGGTCACAGCCTTTACAATATCTAGCTGCATTTCAGGTTGCCTAACAACATTTTTATGATCAAGATGTTTGACCAATATTGAAAGCAGGAAGTGTACATTCTCTCCTGCACCAATTAAAAGATCAGGTCAACATGATCTTTCTTTCTTTTTTTGCAATGATATTTCTGATTTTATACAGCTCAACAATGGGAACATTGTAGAGCCAATTTTGATAGCACTTAGCAGAGAAATTAAATCAAAGATTTAAAGATGTGTTTGGTAGGGGGGAGAGGAAATAGAGAGTAGGGAACTAAGTAGGTGTTAAAAGAAAAGAAATAGAGAACCATAAAAGTTGTTTGGTTGGAAAGAAATCAAATTGAGAGCATGTACTTGAATTAAAGTGGTTTTGATAGATTGAAAAAAATATGAAAAACAAATTGGTAAAGCAACTTTTAAAAACATAGGAGTCGCTACCTGATTCATCCATTATGTGTTGCATGTCCTTCAAAACAGGAAAAGCAACACCCTGTTCCAGAGGCCATGAATTCTCATTATCGAAGTAACGGAACAAAGATTCAAGAACACGTCGCATTGTTGTAGCCTCATTGCCTAATTTTGCCATGGCATATAGGCTCATCCTTGACCAAAAGAAAGGGTTCATAGCTTCCTCCCTGTAAATAATAAGGGTAAAACTTTGAGGGCATGTTGCGAGATACCAAATGTGAAAATCCACTATGCATTATTCCAGAATACAATTACAGTGAAATGTTCATTTCGCCCTTGTCATTCTCTAATATGCTCCGAGAGGACGCATGTGTAATGTTTTCTGCTGGGGTGTGGCCCTCGACTTTATGCTCCCCTTCCGCGCACCTGTTCTGGTCAGGATCTTGAGAATCCTTGTTTAGCCTCCCATAGTTTTCCAAGATTACCGAAACAATCTAGAAAAAGGAACAATAAATTAGGGACACATAACTAATTAAGAAAATAAATAGGTCAATAGAGAAACAGTATTTTTAATAAATAAGGGAGATATAACACACAGCATCTCAATGGCATTGGTTAATACTTTACTTTGCCAAGATACACCAAAAATATTAATGGCATTGGTTAATACTTAGCCCAGTTTCATATGATCTACCAGAAGTAATTTTAAATTTCAGAGATTATTTGGTTTAACATGATTTTACTGTGCTTACGATCAAGTGACTCAAAAATGAATGGAGGGGACAAAACTTTATGGACAAGAGAAAAAGCACTTTGGTTTCCTAGATGCATATTCAAAATATAAGTCTTTTAAGGAACCAAGCTTCCCCAATTACCATATTCGTGATTCTAAATTCTAATGGCGCTGCACTGGAAAATCATGCCAACTGTAAATTTAGTTTTTCAAAATTCAGAAACTTGTAGTGAAAAGCACTGGAAATAAAGCATGTCTATAATATAGAAAAACTTAAATACTGAATACAAAACAAACTGCTTACGTTATCAAATTCAACAGACATATGTGAATGCTCCCCCATGAACTTTACCTGTAAAGGACAGAAATACTTTATCCTATTAAAATCATGCATAGGTTTCTAAATTTAAAACCATGTTGTGATCATTAAAAAAAATACCAAAGCAAAAATTGCTTGCAAGGCAGCTGCCCGAAGACGATTTGCTCTGTCATTTTCACCTATTTCTTGTGCCAGTTGACAGAGTTTTGGAATAAAACCTTCAAAGTTAAACATGTAGGTTCCATCTTTCTATAATTAAAAAAACAAAAAATGAACATCAAAATGTTTAACAGAAATCAAAAGTATACTAATGCAGTCTTATATTTATCAAAATAATGGGCCTTCTATACATACCAACCTGGTTGTTTACAAAATCAAAGATTGATTGGCAGCCCACAATTAGCATGTCCGCCTGTTGAGTTTGATCAAGAAGTGTGTTTATAATGCTCAGCACACTATTTGAAAACAGTGGCCTGGTGGAAATTCACAGAATGCAGAGACTTATGAGTAAATTGATAGATAATGAAAATCCAAAACCTGCTTAAATAGGTCAGGTGTTTAATTTTCCTTTCACAAGTATTCTACACAAATTCTATAAAAAAAACACATACAAAAAACTTATACAAATCTATCTGGGGAAAGACAAACTCACATCTGCTCCTTGCAAGAAACTATCAACTTCTTGTATATGCACAAAACAACTTTTACAGATCGAAAATTTTCGTTTCTTAATTCCTTATAACACCTTTGCTCAAGTGAGGCTGTTATCTCAATGGAAGATCACAAGAGATAATATAAAACCCATTGAGTTTCATACAATATTCATAACAAAAAGATCACATGCATATATGACATTGCATTGCACTGCATTTGTCAAATGCAAAATCATTTGTTGTTCACACTTTCGGGCAAAAATTTATTTGAGTTAAATGAAAAATTTTGAAATATTTGATATTGTGATGTTTTACCATCTGATGCTACAAAACTCCCTTTTAAAAAAATGGGTAACCATAAAAGTACCTTTGGGATGCGCAAAGGATTTTTGGCTGCATACTCACATAGTTTCCCAATCTTACGGTCATTCGGTTCTTCCTGAAGACAACATGAAATTGGGAAAAAAACTGTCACTTTCTTATGACACTGGAAAAGAATACTACGTATTAAGCAATTGCAAATGTAAGTTAATGTATAACCACACCAATATACAAATATATAAATGAAGTTATTGCTTAATCAGAGTCATCAAACTACAGAAGTTAGTCACTGTATGATATTATCTAGTACCCTGCAATTGAATGAAAATGCAGAAACTAGTAACCTCAACGGGAAATTGGAAATATGTGAGGTTAAAATCAAACACTAACCTGTGACTTGGGGAAAATGTCTGATATTAACTTCTTGTACCTTTTCACGGGCTGCCTAGACCTCGCCCTCATTGCGGGGCAAAAGAAACAAAGGGACCCACATGCTGGCATGACTTGCCTTGATATGACACCCGAGACCATCCTCGTTCTGTATATCCGACTTCAAAGGTTTATCCTTTCTCTCACTTGTCAACCACCAAAAGCTCAATGTTTGTACCAAAATAAAAGAGAAGCTTTTCGGGAGAGTGAGCACATATTCTGGGACCAGCCTACATTTCACCAATCACATTATAACCGTGCAACACATTGGTGATCTACTGCCTAACATCATATTCTTATTATGTAATATTGTGCTTTCATAATGCTTTTAATGTTAAAAACTACCAATCAAATTTTAAAATGCTATGCTATGAATTCGAAATTCTGAGATCCTCAAATACAAAACCACAGATCAGAAAACAAGTACGAGGAAAAGGGTATCCTAAAAATGGGAAATTTAT